ACATCGCTCTGAAGGCCACTTAATTCTCAATCACAGCTTTTCCTTTGGAATTCACCTCCAAACCACTCATATCTATACAAAAATGACTCAATAATATCAAATATTGCTAAATAAATCAATTATATTGCATAAATTAAATTTTTCAATTTTTCTTCCAAAAAGTCAAAAACTCGACCCTAGGCCCGCTTGGTCAAAACCAAGGTTCGGACCAAAATCCATTTACCCATTCATCCCCGAGCCCGAATATGTAATTAGTTTTGGAATCCAACCTCAAATTGAGGTCTAAATTTCCAAATTTCCGAAATCCCTAGTTTTCTACCATAACCCCTAATTCTACCATGAAAACTCTAGATTTTAGATTGATAATTCAAGAAATGTAATGGGTAATTGAAAGAAAATGGTTTGGAATCACTTACCAATACTTTGGGGAAGAAAATGACTCTTGAAAATAACCTCTACCCGTTTGGTTCTTGAAAATTGTTGAAGAAATGGCTTATTNCGCGATGGGCTTGTCTCGTTCACGAAGGGTAATGCCCCCATCGCTTCGCGTTCGCGAAGAAGAAATTCTTGCCTCATCAATTTACTCTTCGCATTCGCGAGAGGACCTTCGCAAACGCGAAGAAGGATATGCCAAACACCAGAATCTGCAGAAAACCAGATTTTCCAAAGTCCAAAACATCCTGTGGCCTATCCGAAACTCATTCGAGCCCTCGGGGCTCCAAACGAAACATGCACACAAGTCTAAAAATATTATGCGAACTTGCTCGCGTGATCAAATCGCCAAAATAACACCTAGAACTATGAATTTAGCACCAAATCAAATGAAATTCTCAAGAACACTTTAAAATTCCTATCTTCTCAACTGGATGTCCGAATCACGTCAAATCAACTCTGTTTCTCACCAAATTTCACAGACAAGTCTTAAATATCATAATGAACTCGTACCAGGGTCCGGAACAAAAATACGGACCTGGTACTAATAATGTCAAACATCAATCAATTCTTAAAAATAAATAATTTTCAGACTTTTTAATTTTTTTCAAAAATTCATAACTCAAGCTAGGGACCTTCGAATTCGATTTCGGGCATATGCCCAGGTCCCATAATTCGATACAGACCCAACGGGGCCGTCAAAATATGGATCCAGGCCCGTTTACCAAAAATGTTGACCGAAGTCAACTAAAATCAACTTTTAAGGCATAAATTCTTATTTTCATTAATTTTTAACATAAAAGCTTTTCGGAAATATGCCCGGACTACGCACGCAAATCGAGAAGGGTAAAAAATGAGATTTTTAGACTTAAGAGCGCAGATTCGAGTTCTAAAACATAAGATGACTTTTTGGGTCATCACATCAGGCCCTCGACCTCACTCAGTCATCAATCTCTCCAGTCTCTCGGGCTCACGAATATCATGACAATCAGCCCAAACAATGATGATATGATGTATCAATATATAGCAACAGAGGCTGAGATATGATATGCAAATGATAGATGTGACTGAGTACATGATTGCAAATTAAGCAAGTAATTCAACAGCAACACGACTTTTGTGGGTCCATACAGTACCAGCATATAGCCTAAGCATGATTTCTAACATGAATCACAGCTCAATTTCTCTAACACATGTAGAATATATGGATAATAAAAAGATTATTTGACTACACAGTTCCACGGAATCGACCGAGTCATAATTCATACAGTGCATGCTCACACGCCCGTCACCTAGCATGTGTGTTACCTCAACACCAATCACATAACATATAATTCAAGGATTTATACCCTTAGAACCAAGTTTAAAAGAGTTACTTACCTCAAACCGTGCAAATCTCTACTCTAACAAGCCATTGCCTCGCGAATCGGTCTCCGAACGACTTGAATCTAGCCATAAATAACAGATAAAATCAACACAAGCTATAGGAATCAAATTCATATGATAAAGCTAAGTTCTTAGGCAAAAGTCAAAAAGACAACTCAAAAAGTTAACCCCGGGCCCACATCTCGGAATCCGACAAAATTAATAAAATCTGAACACTCATTCAACCACGAGACCAACCATACCAAAATTACTTAAATTCGATCACAACTTAGCCTTCAAATCCTCAAATTAAAGCCTATGAAGTTTCTATAATTTTTCCAACCCAAAATACTAATTAAATGATAAAAATAATAATATATTCATGTAATTTAACCAAATCCGTGTTAGAATCACTTACCCCAATCACTTCCTTGAAAATTCCTCCAAGAATCGCCTAAATCTGAGCTCCCAAAATCCAATTATGAAATATAACTCTAACCCTCATTTTTTATATTTAAAAGTCTTCCCGGATGCTTTTCTTAGCGATCGCGGGAAATGTTTTGCGATCGCAAAGCAAAAATTCAACGACTGCCAAAATAACTCTTCGCGAACGCGAATAACCCCACGCGAACACGACTCACAGGCTCAACACACTATGCGATTGCGAACCTCCTCACGTGATCGTGAAGGACAAATTGCATGCCTCATCTTCTTCCTTTCCTCTTCGCGAATGCGACTTAACCCACGCATTCGCGATTCACTGACTCCCCAAGCTCCGTGATCGCAGACACTCTCTCGCGGATGCATAGAAAAAAATCCCTAGCTGCCTACAATGCTCATTCGTGATCACAATCCTCCTCTTGCGATCGCATATAAGGAAACCAGCACCAACAAAAATCAGTAGTCTTCAAGTTCCGAAATGCGCCGAACATGGTCCAAATCACACCCGAGGCCCCCGGGATCTCAAACAAATATATCAACAAGTTCTAAAACATCATACAAACTCGCTTGAAGTGTCAAATCACATCAAACAATACTACAACCACGAATCGCGTATCGATTCAAGCCTAATGAACTTATGAACTTCTAACTTTCAAAACTAATGCCGAAACATACAAAACCAACTCCGATTGACCTCAACTTTTTTACACAAGTCATAAATGATACAACAGACCTATTTCAACTTCCAGAACCAAAATCTGAGCCCGATAATCACAAAGTCAACTCTCGATCAAACTTCTCAACTCTCCAAAATAAGGAGTTTTAACAGGCCAAAAGAAAATAAAACATTATCTTAGCAACCCATCACAACTAATTTCTTCCAAGGAAATACTTCAAAGTGTTGATTACTTTAGTGCAGAAGCTGTCATGAGAGGTCTTAATCTCCTTAGAGAACTTATTATTCATTCGTTAACATCTTGCATAGCCTTAGTGCCATGTCTCTTGGTAGTTTGGAGGTTGAGCCTCAGTTTGGCTAGATCTGACCCAGTTTCTTTTGTTACACCTCTGATTTTGTCAAATTGTCACTGCATGTTAATAAGCATTTCCTTAATACCTTCTAATCCCTATTGGATTAGCAGTAACTGATCAGAAGAGGTTGGTTAGGCTGCATTAGGATTTGATCCTCCATCACCCTGATGTGTTGGGTTTGAAGTATCTGCAGCTTTGTCTCTCTTAATACAAGTTTTATCAACCAGACTGTATCCCATCATAGCAAAGGCAGTTTTATCATAAGTGCTTAAAATAATCTTAAGAGCAAAAAGGGATAACTCTACTTTCATAACTTGCAGAATATGAGATATAAGTGTCCATAAGGCAGGCTATTTACAGAAGATGAGACATCTCTAATGCTTTCAAGCATGCATTGACATATCCAAACAAATCAGTCAATTTTTTTTCATTTACAAGACGGTACAAAACAAATACAACTCTGGTAGTAAGGGTGCTAAGTGAGCCAGTACGAGGGAGAAAGTGGTAGCAATCATATGAGCCAATACATGATGCTTAAATTTCAAGTTTTTGTCATGACCCAAATCCCATTATAGGTCGTGTTGGTGCCCAACGTCATCGTTACGCAAGCCAACAACTAAATCAATACATCAATATTAAATCCCAAATGCATTTCAAAACAATTAAAGAGATAAGGAGTGAAAGTTCGTTCATTTTCATAAAATTATAGATGTTATTATTTTAAATATTTGAATGAGGCCGAAATATAATCCCAAATCATAATAGAACACAACCTCGAGCGAAATCTAAATCCCCAAAATCCAGTGTCATAAGTATATGAGCATCTACTAGGGAGTACAATACTAATACAACCTCTGTCTGGAATACAAAATAGACAGGCTTGTGAGCACATAATATTTTCCCTACGTATAAGTTTACTCCTAAAAATTTACAAAAAATAGTTTTCTAGTTGTCTTTGATTTTTATTGAATTTCTAGGAATTTCTCTTTATTTGTTTGTTTGTATTTATTTGCACTTATACATTTAGGAATATTTTAAATCATGAAAGTCATCAAAAAAAAATTGGGGAATCTTAGGTGTAACTGATTTGGAGTCTTCTATAATAGGGCAGTAAGGGCTGGAAAGCAATAAAACAATAAAAATTAGGTAAAAAAGGGACTTAAGGTTTGCTTGGTTGCTTTTCTGTTCACAACTACATCACAAATCTGCTGGTATACTCCTACTACTATTCTTATGTACAGACATAAAGAATCATCTCTAGACTACTTCTTGTCATCCAATACTTTGAGTAGTGTCGCTTGAAAATTCACATCAGCCTCGACCTTTAGACAGCAGAACTTGGTGCCTGGTAAGGGCATTTGAAGTGCTACATTGACGTTTACACTTGGCTAGTGAATACACGCATCATTGTCTGTTAGGAATGGACAAACCCATCAGATGTAACTTGCACTTATCAATTCTGTGCTTTAGGTTGGTTTCATTTACATGTTCTTCGACAATTTGTAATTTTGGATTCTTTGTTTTCATTCACATATATTTATATAACACACTAGGCATGACGCCTAGTGTTCTCTTTGCTTAAAAAAAAAAAGGGACTTAAGGGTTAAAATACAAAAGGTAAAAGAGGTTGGAAAGAAAAAGAGATAACAGAATGGACAGCTATACAGCTGTAAGAAGATTCTATATAATCACCCGCTCACTCACGCATAGGAGCGGACTCATTGATCATTTCCTACATATATTCACACTCTTTCCACTCCTCTCTGGATATTTACACACAAAATACATACAGAAGCTGAAATCAAAAGAAAAATTCTTAGAATTCAAGTCTCAAACAAAAACAGATTTGAAAACAAAAAAAAGGGAACGAAGAAGTTTTTTAAAATCTGGGTTTCGAAAAGGCTTTAGGAGTGCCATTGCTGCTGTTCTTTGCTTGGTTGCTGTTGTTTCCTGAATCTGCTGAGCTTTATTCTTCAATTTTTGCCTTTATTTGGCCATTGCGAGCTTTGTGCTCAAGCTTAGGTACACATCTTTGATTTTTGTATAATTCTGAATTCTAGCATAATAAAATATTTCTGCTCTTCTATGAAATTCAAATATGCTACTGTCTTCATGTAATGTTTGTGTTTAGCTGTGATAGTGTATTTGCATTTGAAGTGAAGTTTGAATTTGCCTCTGTTGGTCATGTATAACATATTTAATTTGAATCTGTAATCCGTTATACGATGACTTTGTATTGTGGTTAACCATAAACGTTTCGCAGATCTATGGAAATTGGGTTCAAGTTTGTCCATGTCAGTCTGTCTGTTTTCGTTTTGGACATTGATGTTGAAAGCTGAAAGAGGAACGCCATACCTGTAGAACCAAAAGCATGAAGAGATATAGATTAATTAATTGCAGTCTATTTGCTATTACATTGTTTAATTCCAGAATTATAGGATGTTAGTTCCCAGAAGCATTTATCATCACAAATTCAAGACCACGATTTCTAATGTAATGATTTGGCGTTGTAACTTTAAATCTGGATGAACGTGTACTCATGCTTAGTTTAGCTTGTAGCTATTTCATTTCTCTGCAATGGTGCCTGCAGATTACTGGGTTTCCACTCCCAGGGGCCCATTTTGAGGCATGTGGCAAGGCCTGTTTGGTCTCAAAAGATTGAAAGATGTTTTGGGCTTGTGATCTGAAGCCCAGCCACATTTCACAGGACCTATTGGAGGTCTGGTGCATTTATTTAGGGAAATTTTACCTCCTATAGCAAAGCTTTACACCTTATTTATTATAAATAAATATTCTTTTAAAATATTATTTTCTATAGCTACCTTTTAGATTTTATAGCAAAATATGTATTTATAGTCACTTCTTACTGTTTAGCCATTAAATACGCTGGGTAATATTTTTCTGACTCCTACTTTCTGTATACAACTTAACCACGATCTCTCTCCACCCCATCTCTCTCTCTCAACACCACTCTCTTCTCCATGAATACAACCACGATTCTCCACCGATTCATCTCCATTGTCTCGCGAAATTTTTAACTTTTTTTTTGCTCCAAAAAGTTGTGGTAAGTGTTAAACTTGATAGATTTTCGCTGGTATCGGAATTGAATGGAAAAGACAAGACAAAACGAAACAGAAAAAGATAAAGGAGAAACAAAGATCTGGAGAAATACAAGTGCAGATCTCAAAATTTTCAAAGCAGAAATGAGAGATTCACTACCTGGACAACCCAGAGAGGGCCGGTACCGGCGGCGGCGCCTCACATGGCGGCGGCCTGGATATCGGTGGATTGGGGACGGAGTTTAGGGCTGAGAAACTTGAAGAGTCAGTTACCTTTATTTTTATTGTATTCAATGTATCTCGCTGTATTCCATGTATTTCATTGTATTCACGAATTTAGTCTTTTCTACTTTTTCAATATATTCACTGTATTTAAATATATTCAAGTTAATTATATAATTTTAAAGCTTCACTTTGTTTCACTCTTTTGTTCAGCAATATGTATTCAATGTATTGTAGAATGTATTCATATATTTTTTTAATTAATATAATTTATGTATTCAGATATATATGTGTATTCAAATGTATTTACAGTATGTATTCATATGTTTTTGCACTATAGATGACCTGCTATACTTCATGTATTCAATGTATTGTATGTATTTAACTGTATTCAATGTAATTATATAATTTCAGTATATAAATCTATTTGTAAAAGATACCACTAAAAAATATTTTAGTAAAGATACCACTAATAAAAAGAAAGGATGGATTGAATCTCTGAAGATTGCTCTGTTTTGGGGGTGTTTTTCGGCTGAGAATCTTTTCTATAACTGAAAATACAAATTTTGCGTGTTATAATTGAGTTTGTTGAGTTATATTAAGAGTCTATCGCATTAATTGATTCACTTACCGTTTTTAAATAGCTGGGGGGGAAAATTTCCGCATATTTTCATTATTGTATTCACGAATACAGCTCGCGAATACATATGAATACAGTCTATGTTTAGCTGGACTTTCTTGTTTTCCATCGAATTTTGCTACTGTATTTATGAATACAGTAGTTTGAATATATCGAATACACTCTATAACAAGTGAAAACATAGTTATATGAAGTAATTAAATAAATGATAGTTATAACAAGTTAATAGCCACTAAATAATAATGGTGAAAATTTGTTAGTATGAGTCCACAATGTTGTCATCTAGTTATTAATCCATGTTGAAATAAATAATTAGATAGAAACATGTAATCAATTTTGCTAATTTATTTCCAGTAATTCTAAACGCGAGTCTATTCCATGATGTAAGGCTGCCGCCCGATTCATTCCTGAAATACGTTATCAATAGCCATAAGTTTGTTAGATATTCTATTCATTGAAGTTCAAACTTTTAGTTTACACCTTGATATTGCTTTATCCACAATAAATCATTCCATAACTTTGAACCTCCACAGCAATCTCAAACCTTAGAAAAATAAACAAATTATGATTATATCATAGGTTGCTTTAAGTGCGCTTTTGAATTATTATCGTGATTATGTATACGTTCGTGTAACATAATTACGATTCCCAAATAAATCAAGGTACGCATTCGCGCGACTTTGGCCAAACCATCTTAATACTAATTAAGTGTTATGAATCGTGTGTACGTACGCGTGACATGATTTAGCATACTGAACAAAACGGATTCATACATACATGGTTCGTTTCAAGATAATTCCATAATCTAATAATCAAGTAATTTAAAAGTTGTAAAAGAAATAAACTACACATAGGTTCTAAAACACGTAATAATTCATTAATTAAGCCAGGTATAAATTACAAAACGACCGTGCTAAAATCACGAAATTTAGGAGTGCCTCACACCTTCTTCCGGATTAACAGAATTCCTTACCCGGTCTTCTGTGTTTCACAGAATTTAAAACAGAGTCAAATTTCCTTGATTTGGGATTCTAAAATAAATCGGTGACTTGGGACACCATAACAATTATTCCAAGTGGCAACTCTAATTAAAATAAATAATCTCATTTCAAATAATATCACTTTAATTGAAAAAACTCCTTATCTTCGAAAAAAGGAGGTATGACAGCTCTGGCGACTCTACTGGGGATTATAACCCAGAACTTCTAGTTCAGTGTTTAGAATTCGAGCTTGTTATGTGATCTATACTTAGCTTTATTGATTGTATGATATTATTGTATTTGCGAGCCTAATGTGCTAATTGTTTTTCATTTACCGCTTTGATATTGTTTGAACTGTATAAACTGTCTTCATACGCCTCCTTTATGAGTCTTCTGAATTATTGATGCACAGGTGCGCGTGACCCACTTTTCTGTTAGATGTCATACCAATTAGAACGAGACTGGTTCAGTAACTAGGTCGGATAGGCTTTCGTGCTCTTGGTACGTTTCCCCCACCTCGGCTCAAGCTGTCCGCTTGGGTAAGCGAGGTCTAAAACACCCTCTAAGATTTAAACCTAGAATAACATAGCCTCATGGCAGATCCCTAGTAGGAATATTTATTTGCATCACGTGCATTTGACTTTAAGGACTCAACACAGGGGTTGGGTCCGTCTAGGACAGGTGTATCTAAAATTACAGGACCATCCTGATGCAAGTTATGTGCTACTTGTGCATTTTATTTGATTCGATTTGTGCATGTTGAACGGATTCTAAAAATAAGAGAGAAAATCGAGGAAAAACCACGATAGAGAGGTAAGAGAGAGAAAATTCATCCAGTTCCTAAAAATCTCAGTATTTGGAGAAAGAAAAAAAAAAGAAAAAAAAAGATTTCTTGAAACTCTGCTGAAATTTTGAAAGGGTTTTACAAAATTGGCCAAAAATTACAAAAAATATTATTTTCCTCTATTTTGACATAACTGACCGAACTATGCAGGTCTAATTTTCACCGGATGTGAGATACATATGTAACCTTCATCGGGTCTGGCCCCCACTTTTCAAAAAATCCGAAATATTTTTCTTTTCCTTAATTCCTTTTTCAGAAGTCTTTCCTTAGATAATCCCAAAAAAGAAATTTTTTAAACCCAAAAATATTTTCCTCATTTTTCAAAAAAAAAAAAGAGAAAAAAGAAAGAACAATCAAAGTCCAAAAACACGATTTTCCCTTATTTAGAAATCTTCATCCCAAATTTTCAAAACATCCAAAAATATTTTTTAAATCCAGATTTTAAAAAACAAAATCAAATCAAATAGAAAAAAAAAAGAGAAAAAATGAATATTTGAATTCCAAAAAATTTTCGTTCTTCTTCGGACGTTTATCTTTCGGAAATAAAAAGAAAAAACTGAAAGCACAAAAAATATTTCTTAGAAGTCTTTATAAAAAGAAGAAAAGAAAAAATGGGTCAGTCTATTACCCAATCTCCCCGAACTACTTAATGATCCGATTCATGCGGCGTCATGATTAGGCAATCCCCATCGGATGCGATCATAGCCATAAACAAAACTGAGCGAAAAATCAAAAAAACAAATTGAGTGGAAAACAAACAAAGATAGAAAAAAAAAATAAAGAGTGACAAAAATATGAGGAGAAAACTCAAGAGAAAGGGAGAGGTCAAACCAAAAGAAAGCCGGAAATGAAATAAAAAAGTTACAGAGTGGAAAAGAGATAATGAAAGTCAGGATGAAACACGCAACCGTTCAAACACATGGTAGAAGCATTTAACTGTTTAGGTCCATTGCATCTCAATGTGCGATTTCCTATCTGTTAAACATCTCAAAACTAACAAGGTTGTTGCGTGCGCAATTTAGCCAGGTTCTATTCAGGTGGTTCGTTTTGTTGATAATCTGGCTTCCCATCCTTTCTTCACAAGATCCAAAGGAAAGGTTCTAATGGCCTCCAAAAGCAATCTACCAATTATCAATCCAGAGGATAGCCCGGCACCGGCTATTCCACAAACACAATCAGCAACTGCTGAAGAGAATAGGATGTTGCGTCTCCGCATGATGGAAATATGGGACACCTGGTCTAATGGTAGGGAACCGCCGAGTGCAATCCCTAGGTTCCCTGAGTTGATCCCAGGGTCAGGTGGGGCTACCAACGTCCCTGTGTCCAACCCCTTCATCTCGTGCGGGTACCCTCCAATGATGTCTAACGGTCCTGGCATACCTTCTGTGGTTCGCCCCAAGCGCCAGTTTCCAGAGCACCTCCAGTATAGTTCTCTGCAGTGCTTGTCTTCACCGCGGCGCAGCCAACTGTGCCCAGGTCGTGTTTTGAACCTCCGACTTTCACATTCCAGGGCCCACAATTTCAAGAGGATATGACCTATGTTACTACGGACTCATATACTCAACCTCCACAATATGGGTTTCCAGCTGAACTGAAAAGAATGGTCAAATATCCCGAGCAGGAGGAAATGGCTCAGAAAATGAAAAGCCAGGAGCAGAGTTTAAAGAACATGCAGGACCTGAGTAGCCAAAAGAGTGTCTCCTACTTCGACTTGTGCATGTTTCCCCCCGTCCATTTGCCAGTTGGTTTCAAAACGCCAAAATTTAAAAAGTACGACAGGCATGGAGACCTGATCGCTCAT